TCTTCCTCAGCACACCTGAAATTCCCAGCCTGACAAAACTGCCAGACCCTTAATGATATTCCATGTCTGAGGAAGGCCCGTCTCCCGGACACCGAGTGAACTCGAGCTCGGCGTAATAAAACCCTACAGCAATAAAATATTAAACACTCCTCTGAGCATTTAATCCACCTAAACCCCTCCAGGCTTTTACAAGGTATTTGTCACCTCCACACTTGTGCACAGGGAGCAGCTGTCCTGACAGAAACAGAACCTGCCAGAAAACACAATGTCTTACTTTGCTGTGTAATGACAGGACCTCAAAGCTTATTTGGGGGACATTTGATTGTGCTGCTGACATTAAGCCGTTGGAAAAAACAACAGTGGCAAGTTCCCAAGGTGGCATTGATTGTTTTCCTAAGTGCCAGCAGCAGGATATACAGTTAGGCTATTACTGGATGAAGCACAGGGGAACTGCTTTATTTACATCATTTAATGTGGTGGAATAAAAGAGGAAGAGAAGGTACATTGTGGCAGCGATGGCTTAAAGATAGGTGAGAGGCAAGGCTTGTAGAAACAGGTAGTAGCTTTTATTAGGCTACCTGATGCTGCTAGAAACAAGCTCTGAGGCTCAGAATTCCAAGAGGGATTGTTTTTGGAGCTCAGCATCATAATACACCCTTGAACTAGAGCTTTCCAGTACCCAAGAAATGCAGGTAACTAAACCAGTAAATCTCAAATGATGAAGAAAAGGGTTTTTTCCCATCTTTCTTAGTCATGATTTGGATGCCTCCCTGTCCAGTCCTGTCCCCCTCGTGTTTTGTCCTTTTCCAAACTCCACCTCCTGAATGTAACTGCTAATTAACACTGTTAATTAACTGTATTAACACTGTATTAATGAATGGAACTGAATTACCACTGTTAATTTCCACCTCCAAAATCAACTCCAGCAACATGAGTTCCAGCACTGCTGGAATTCAGTATTAACACTGTATTAATGGATGGAACTGAATCAACACTGTTCATTTCCACCTCCAGTACAAACTCCAAGCAACATGAGTTCCCACACTGCTATCCCCAACCTTGTGCACCAATGACACCCCCAAACCTGCCACTCAGCACACAGCAGGGTCACCCTCTACCCCCACGTTCTCCCCTTTTTCTCTACTCAAACTTCTGTGCTTCTGCTCAGGATGTTTCAATTACTCCTCTCTCCTGAGCATCAGGATTCACCTCTTGCCTTGGACACCCTGGCTGCCTGGGCACCCCCCAGGAAGGAACAACCCACTGGACCTGCACAGCTCATCTCCCAACTTACCTCAGTTCCCCTTCAAACAGTGGGAGGGAAGGGATGCACAGGGGAAGGGAAGCCCTGCCCAGCCAACCAGCTGTTCCTGCTCTCACAGAGGAGAACCTCTTCCTGGAAGTCATAAATCACTTTGGATTTGTGCTGGCACAGAGACCAGAGCAGGAGCATCTCGCAGGAAGCAATTAATTGTTGTCACTTGCTCTCAGAACACCCTCTCCAACAGCAGGAATGGCAGCAGCTCCAAGGGTGCACCACTGCCACTGGGATTTTGTACACTGATCCATCTTCCTGGGGCTGGTGTGTGTCTCTGCACGGGGACAGCCCACAGCTGATCCACCAGTGTGGACACATGGCTCCTCCTCAGGGACAAGCCAGTGCTCTTCCTAACTGCAGCAAATAGGAACTTTTTTCTCCATGGCTGAGCAGTAGCTGCTTTCATTCCAAATCTGAATTGTGTAGCTTGCTCAGAGGATAACATTTCAGAAGGAAGAGGAATGCCTAATAGCTGTTCATATCAATGTGTTGGGAGTTAAGGGGCTAGAAGTCAGGGAAGGGAAAAAACCAAATATAGAAAACAGTCTGCTATGTGCAGATTGACTTAAAACCAAGGATGAAATGGAGGAGGGGAAGGTCTCAGGAAATCTGATGCTTTTAGGTTGTAATGGAACGAGGCTCACATTGCGAGGCAGAAAATGGCGTGTGAAGGATCATTAAGATGAGAGTATCTGTGTCTCTGCAGAGTACCATTGCCAACGAGGTGAGAGTGCCTGGAGCACTGAGGGAGAACAGCTCCTCTGATCCTGATAACATTATATGTATTAATTAGACTGAACAGCTTAGGGATGTGAATATGGACGAGGCTCAAAAATTCCTTAGGAAGAGCCTGGAAGTAAATGGAAAGTAAAATAAAATGCAGCACGGATGTAGCAAAAACTATGTTTGGGTTTTGTTTGGTAACATTTGCTAGAAAATAAAAGTTGATAAAATCTAATCCAGTTGGACCTTATTAAAGCATCTGACACAGCAATGGGAAATCAAGAGAGACACGGAAGGGATGGAGAAGAGTAACAGCAGTGTAATGCAGAGGCAGAATCTGTGAGTGAGTTAAACAACAGAAAGCTACACTGGAAGGAAAACTCTCATGTTCCTATTTCCAGACATTGATTTCTGCTGTTGTTGGAGCCGAGGATTTCTCTGGGGTCTCATCTTGGCACCCTCAGGAATGTAACAATAAAGGAGGAACCGCAGCAAGGAAATCTGCCTTGGGCACCCAGCTGGTCGACGGGCTGTCAGTGCAGGTCCCACGGTGCAGGGAAGCTGATGATCCTGAGGCCTGGAATAACGGAATTGCAATGCATTCAACTTATTCAAGGAAGGTCTGTCATGGTTTTGAGAATCTCTTACCCCTGCTGTGATAACCTGCAGCAAGTGCACTCGGAGTGCTCAGCAGTGCTGAGGCTTCCTCTGGGATTCTCTGTCCAGTTTTGGGCAACAAACCTGAAGGGAGAGGTGAAAGAGCCAAAAACAGCCAGAGGAGGGAAATAAGGATGGGGAGAAATGTAACGAGCTGCCTGGGAGGGAAGAACTGGAGGTGATTAGGCTTGAGCAAGAGAGGTTCCAGAGGTCAGATGGTAACAGCCCTGAAGTAAGGAAAGGGCTGCCTGCCTTAAAGGAAAGCAGCAGCCTGTTTTCTGTGCCTGCTGCTGAGGGGAAAGTCAATAATGGAGCAGCCTTAGCCTGCAGTGGGGAGATTTAGTTTAAGCTTCGTGAAAACCTTTTTTAATGAAAATTATAATTAAGTACTGGGATAGATTGCTAAGGGCACTGCAGAATAGCCACCTCTGGAAGCTTTTATTGCACAAAGGTCTCTCAGGAATAATTTTGGCATATTTATTCATTAAGAAGAAAAATGAAGTTGTTAATAGGTATCACCTTTTCTCGAGTAGACTCCACTCACACTGTCTTCTCCTCCTGTTTGTCCTCTTTGGCCCTACATGGACCATCTCCCACCAGTGAAAGGAACTGATGGTGCTGATGGCACTCTTGACAGTACCCAGGTAAACTAGTTGGTATCAGCCTTCTCATTTCTCAAGGAACACATATTTCATGGACCTGGCTGTGTCAGGACCTTCACAGGGCTGGATTTACCCTCTGCTGCCCTTCTTCCATCTCAGCAGGGAAGCAGAGCTGTGCACCAGTCCTCGCGCTCAGAAAACCCGCTGTATCCTCTGTGTGGGGTCAGAATGTGACCCTTGGAGAAAGGCTTAAATCCCAGACAAGCCTGTTACTCACTTAAGCACAGAGATATCAGAGTATCAGAGGCTGGAAAGGGGGACAATACCTCCAAGCACAAGTCTCCACTGGCCCTGGTCTCCTGATGCTCTGAGGGCCCCTGCCCCTGAGAGAGTCAGACTTTCACAGCAGTCGCAGCAGAGCAGGGAGAACTTCAGGAGAGGCTCATTATAACCAAAAACCCCTTTGCTCCATCACAGAGCAGTGATTGGAATATTGAACCTTCACTCAGCTGAGCCAAATGAGAATTATTCTCCTCTGAGCTGCAAGTTGTGCACTCCTTTACACAGCACAGAAGGCACCAGGTGGACCTGGAAAGGCTCCACTTCCATTTGACATTGAGGAATGTATCTGCTCGTGCCCAAAGTGCAGAGCAAAGGGGAACAAGCCAGACATACTGCTTATTTTCCAAATAATTTCTCTTGTTTGTAAGCAGGAAAAAACTTTTAAATTACAGGATGCAATATTTGAAAGTTTACTGCTTCAGGCAGCTGCTTATTGCCCCTGGGTGGGACCGTCTTTCAGGATACTCAGGGTTTATTTAATGCACAAACCTGGGGCAGGCCAGCTCTGTTTAAAATGGAAGCTTTCATTTCAGTTCTCTTGAAGACATGGTGTATTTGGACATCAGGAGGAATCTCTGCATGGAATGGGTTGTTAAACATTGGCAGGGCTGCTCAGGGAGGTGGTGGAGTCCCCATCCCTGGAGGTGTCCAAGGAAGGACTGGCCGTGGCACTCAGTGCTCTGGGCTGGGGAACAAGGTGGGGATGAGACACAGGGTGGACTTGGTGATCCCAGAGGTCTTTTCCAACCTAAATGATTCTGGGATTCTTTATGGGTGAGCTCCAGTTTAAAGGATATGGCTGGATGTGCGTGGGAGGTACTTAAGGGGGAATAAGTGCATGTTATAGTAAGGTGAACTGTTTGCAGCTTGTATAGGATTTCTGAGGGAGATTTTAAAAACCTTCAGGGTCCCACTCACAGTCCAATGGATGGACTTGTGTTCCTGTTAGCCCTGGGGATAGTTTGGAATGTCTTCTTGAAGTCTTCTTGTATCTTCTTTTGTGTGTACAACCAGATGAGCTTGTTCAGAGTTGCATCTTATAAAGTGAAGAATTTGCTTCTGAACTTTCAAGGGGTAATAGTGCAAGGAGTTTACTGGAGAACTACAAATCACATCATAAACTCCCCATGAAATATTTAAAACAGTCAGTCTAGAACAAGAATGTTATTCTCCATTAAACACCTCAAATTGAATTATGTTCCCACTTCAGTCAAAGACAAAATTCCATTGATTACTGTAGATCTGGAGTGACACTTTATTAATTGGTTACAAAATTCTATTAAAATATTACTACTGTTGATTAATTTGGGTCATATATTCAATCAATTTTTATGGAATTACTTATTTTTCATCAGGCTTTGTTTCTTTACATTGTTGCTTATCATGGGGGCATGATCTTATTACAAAAAATATTATTTAGCCTGTTTTAATGGGAACATAAATACTATCATTGTTTATGTTCCTTCTGCCTCTAAACTATGCTGGTGTGAGTGGATCTCACCAAAAATCTTGGCCTGATTGTACAAAAGACCCTTGTTTAAAAAACATATACATTTCACAATCCTGCAGCAAATAACCAACACAATGTTTGTGGTCTGTGTGATAGTGGAAAATGTTGTAAAGCCACGAGGAGATTGCAAGGCAATACTGCTGCTTCTAAAAAGAAGATTGTAAATGAGTTTGACCTATATGGGTTACAAGAGAAATATTAACTTTCTCTGAAAGGATGGTAATTAGGACAAACATAGAGAACTATGTTTATTCTCTGAAACAGGAGATATTTTTTCATATATTTCAGCTTACCTTCCTCTGCTGAATAAATTCTCCATGCAACCTTCCATTAAGCCTACAGTAAATCAATCCCTTAGTGAATGCTTTTCTTTTAAACCATTATTATCTTGTCTTTATTCACTGTTATCCCTGCCTTCCCAGGCAGGAAAAAAAAAAACCCAGCCGCTTTCCTCTGCTCTTCTTTGCAATAGGCCAGGATTTCATATCACAGGGTAATTTTAAGCCCTTTATTACTGTTTAACACATAAAATGCCCCCCAAAGCCAAAGCAAAGCCACGCAGCCCAAAAGCCATTCCGAGCTACTATTAGAACAACATTAAAAATTCACCTTCCCGTGCACTAAAGCTGTCCTTGCTGCAGCATCCTCACCCCAGCAGAGCCCACTGGGGGATGGCTGCAGCTCCCAACCACGGCCCCAAGAGCAGCAGCTGTGGGGCAGGAGGCAAAGGCAGGTTTCCATCCATCCAGGCAGACAACGATGCAGAAGCAGGGAAAGGCAGGAGGCACCTACACATACTGACTTTTGGAGTAGGATCCCTCGGCCTTGCTGTGCAGGCGCTGGCTGTGAGGGGAGTGGTGGGTCGGGGATGAGTATCTGTAGCTCCTGGGATTCTCAGCGCAGCGGGAAGAGCAGCAGAACGTGGATCCAGCGGCCACGAGGCAGAAGGAGGCCACCCAGCCCAGGTACAGGGCCTCTCCAAGCTCCCTCTTCTGCGCAACGTTGACCACGGGGTTGTAGAAGTCGCTGATGATAGAGTTGGCGACCCAGCAGACTGGGACGAGCTCGACGATGCCTGAGAGGATGAAGAGGAGCCCAGCAGCCAGCAGGATGCAGCCTTTGGCTTGCCAGGGGCTCTGTGGGCACCGTGTGCACCTCATCCCAACCATGGCCAGCACGAGGGCGAGGAGGGACAGCCCTGAGCCAGCACACATCAGCCCCCGGGACGCCTGCAGGTCCGGTGAGAGCGCCAGCACTGAGTCGTAGACCTTGCACTGCATCCTGATGTTGACTTGCCTGATGCAGTGCATCCACAGCCCTTCCCAGATGGTCTCAAACACGATGATGTTGTGCTCGATGAAGGCAGACACCCTCCACTGGGGCATGGCCGTGACGGCGAACGTGCCCACCACGCCGAGGCCCCCGACGAGCAGCCCGGCGACCTGCAGAGCCCCGCCGGCCATCCTGCCTGGGCCGTGGGGGCACGAATCAGCAAAACAGAGCAGCTTCTTCAAAAAGCCGTTGTCCCAGAGGTTTCAGAGTCAGGCTGCACCACCTTAAATCAGCTTAAATCTGGCACGGACTCCCCGGGACTTGGCTGCGCCTCCATGGCCTTTATAATTCCCCCGGCACCAGCGCTCCGAGAGGCAAACTGAGCAATCAAGTGGAACAACTTTCCTGAGCAAGAGAAAGGACAGGGTGTGTGTAAACCAGCAGGAACCACTTAGGATAAATGTACCTTCTGAGGCAAATGCTTTGCATTGAAGTTGCTTAATTAAATAAATAAATAAATAAATAAATAAATAAATAAATAAATATACCCCAAGCCCTGCCCTTAAGCCTGGCTGTGTTCTGAAGGTTTGTCCGTGCTGAGGGAATGGACCAGACTCTGCAAGAAGACTTGGGGGTGAGACTGGTGCAGTTACTGGGGCTGTTCCTGAAAAAGCAGGAATATTCTGCCTTGGCTTGGTGGCAAAGTTCCACGAGGAAGGCAGAGCCTACTCCCTGCCACTGGGCCCCTGCTCCCAAAAGCACTTTTGTCCCAAAGCTCAGGGGAGAGCACTGCAGAGACAGGATTCAGCAACAAAGCAAATCCAAAGGATAAAGAGAAAGTAACTCTAAACCTGAAAGAGTTCTGCAGAGGACAGTCAAATCTGCAAAAGAGCATTTAAGGGGGAGAAAGGAGACTCAGTCCTACTAATACCATATACAGCCCTATACATTTCTCTTGCTCCATGGTATTTATGGGAATAGACAGGTTTCCAGAGGTATCCACATGCTCAAAAGATTGCACATTCAGGTCTACAGAGTGGGGATTTAACTATGGAACAAATTGTTTTCCTGTGCAAAAGTGAACCCGGGAATTAGCCTGTGTTGGAGTCCAGTGCAAGGGGAAGCATCAGCACTCCAAGACCTGTTAGAGCTATACCTGTACCAACAAATACTTTAGAAAAACATCATTTTAATTAAACAAAAATAATTAAACATAAAAATTATGGAGAGGAGGTCCATTCAAGACTTCTTGTGTAATGTGACCAGTGGACAATCCTGAAAAATGTCAGGTGAATGAATCTGTGAAAATCAGACCAACAGAAACCACAAAAATCTAGGGAAAAAAACCAAAACAGACATGTAACAGTAGATTCTTTTTACAAATTCTGATAGCTACAAATATATGCATGAAATATTCAGCCTGATCTTTGTGTGTGCCCTAAAATGGAAAAAAAAATCAGGCATTAATTAGGATTTTTTTGGTTGTAAAGTAGTACTCCATATGCTAAGATAAAACCTAATTTGCTACACTGTAAAAGATCAATTTGGGATATAACTACCTAGATACTGAAATACAAGCCTGCTGCTATTCATCTGAACTTTCTTGCCTCTAGGTTTCTTCTTGCCATTTATATCTCTCCAAAACCAGAAAATAAATGCAAAAGAAACAGAGTGGTGCAGTGCTAAAGATACCACCTCGCTGCCATAACAGACACAAAGATAAAAGCCCCATTTACATGCAATATTTTATCCTCCCCAAGTGTGTTTCTCTGTGTGTGTGTGTGTGTGTGTGTGTGTGTGTGTAAAACTATGGTTAGGAGGGAAGGCAAAGTCAGAGTCACTTTACAAACCCTTCCATCCCCAGTTTGGCTTTCAAATCCACTGGTTTTCCCAACCTCTGCAGCAGGTTGATGCTTGTAAAAACATGGTAAAGCATATAATAATGTAATTACCATGGCATGGCTTTGCAGCCCCGTGGTTGCCACTCAAATAGCAAAGAAAAAGCTCCCAGCCTACAGCAGAACAAATAAACAAGTACTTTAATAATATATCAGTAAGTAAACACAAATGTGGTACAAGCAGCAGGACTGATTTTTCTTAGAGACTAGTGAAGTTCTAATTTACAGGACATGGAAAATAATTAGCTGAGCAAATATAATTTAACCACGTTATTGATTAATTTACAAACCCATTAAAGCTCCCATATAAAGTCATGGTAAGATTGTGTCTGCGTCAAGGATTCAGTATTTGCACATTCTTAGAAGGATTAAATTTAAGTGCCTTATCTTGCTTTAAACCATTTTCAGGAGGAAATGTGGGGAAATCTTATTTAGCATTATGGATCGCATCTGCTTGTTTACAATTAAAACACAATTTTTTTGTGAGGGGGCAAGTCAAGAATTTCATTATTCATTCTGTGTATTCAAACATGTCATTTCATCATGGGCAAATATCAGAAATGCCTATGACATAGTTCACTGTCATCCACAGGATCCAATTATTTTGCTATAAAACAAATATGTACATACATAATTTAACCTTTCCTCTTTTCTTTTCTTTTCTTTTCTTTTCTTTTCTTTTCTTTTCTTTTCTTTTCTTTTCTTTTCTTTTCTTTTCTTTTCTTTTCTTTTCTTTTCTTTTCTTTTCTTTTCTTTTCTTTTCGTTTCTTTTCTTTCTTTTGTTTTCTTTCTTTTTTTTCCCCTTCCCTTTTCCATTCCCTTCCTTCCTTCCCTTTTCCCTTCCCTTCCTTTTTCCCTTCCCTTCCCTTCCCTTCCCTTCCCTTCCCTTCTCTTCCCTTCTTTTCCTTTCTGCCCCAAAGGCATTTTGGAATAAAATGCACCAGGAAAATACATTTTAAGCACAATGTCCTTCCTGAGCATGAAGCAATTTTTAATTTCAGACTTATGAAGTGCCAACAGCAGCCACTGATGCCGAGGGGGAGGTGGGGAGAGGGGGAAGAAGCGGTTGCTCAACACCTCCAAAAATCTCACCCTGCACGAGCAGCAGAGTGAAAAGAATCCTGATTATTGATGCTGCTCTGGAAAAGCAGAGGAGTGTTGATGTCAGACGAGTTGTTCAGCATTTTGTGCCCCGGCAGGCTGTCATTACTGTGTCAGTGATGTGCACTCTCCACGGCTCGCCCCAGGTACGCCAGAACCTGGCACTTACTTTTCTCCAAGGTCTTGTACCTAATGCAGCAGAACACGAAAAGCCAGTTCCACATATCTGGTGCAGGCAGGAAGAGTCACAAACACCTCTAACCAGCTCCACTGGAGAGCCACTTCTGCTCCACTGAGGCAGCTTTCACTCCTGTTCTTTCTCTCCCCACTGACCATAGCCCAGATGGCAAAAGGGACAGTGACAGGAATGCAAAAATAACAGTCCTTGGCTGGTCATGTCACAGCAGCACAGGGAATCTTTTTGCCTAATATCCCACATAACTTTACACTTTTGCTTCTCTTGCTCCTCACTCTTTAAATCCCCCTCTGAGATGACAATGTGATGATGTTCCCCTTGGATTAACACCCTGGGCAGAAATTTCAGTTTCCCCTGCTTTTAACCTCTGCTTTTTTTGTGAGGTGTTAATGTAGGAAATTTGCCTAACTTGGAACTGGGACACACAGTTCAAAAGTAGGATTTTTGAAGATAACCAGGGGCTAAAGAGACAACAACTTCCCAGGGACTCTGGCTCTGTACACCTTGAGAGGCAGCTGAAGCCTAGGAGGGATAAAAAGAACTGCCAGAGCTCAAGGAGCCTTTGGACAATGCTCTCAGGCACAAGGTGGGATTGTTGGGGTGCCCTGTGCAGGCCAGGAGTTAAACTCAATAATCCTCGTGGGTCCCTTCCAACTTGGGGTACTCTGTGGTTCTGTGATTCCATGATTCTAAGGGATGGAGAGGTCTCCACTTGGTGGCTTGAAAACTGGACTACATGAATTTCATAGGGAATCATTCTGCACCAGGACAGGTTCACCCTGAGGAGGTTATACGACATTTCTAGCCCTGGGCTCCAGCTTTTGGTGTGTGGGAGCTCCCTGTGTGTTGGAAAGGGTCACAGCAGGAACATCTGACTTCACATACCCAGCTCACACCCATGGAACCCACCACCCCTCCACTGAAATGAGCAGGAACATGTAGTATGTTGTATAAAGTCACTTTTCTTCCTCATGCAGAAAGAGATGGGAACATTAATATGAAGGTCTCAGATTAATCTGTTCCTTCATTGTTTTAGAAGAGTTTTCATGACTCGTGTGCTTGAAAGAAAATTTCCATCCCAGTTTATCCCGCTGGAGTGGCTGCCTCAGTAACATCCTCTAGCAGCTCCTGCAATTAGCCACGAATTTACAGGTGCCAGACCTTCTCTAAAATGAAATTCCTGGAGCTGATTGGATGAAAAGTTTTACATCTCCAGACAAAACCTATCATTTGTGGCACTTCTGCTCCAACCTATTGGAGGTTCCATCACCATATTACATTTAATTTTCTTTTCTAAAAAGTCCCCAGGCTTTTATTTTTAGCATTCCTGACATTCCTGCTGTGAAGGGCTGCCCATCCTGAATCATAAGACTTTCATAAAGGTGACATGATAGTTCATTAAAGATAAGAACAACTGGGCAATAATTGTCTTCTGTTATACCCCAGGTGCCTAAATGACTCCAGCAGGATTTCATAGGTGGGAATTAAAGCAAAACTTCAGTTTTACCTGCTTGCCTAGAACCTACATTAAGAGTTTAGCAGAGAAAATGCTCAGAGGAGATGAGGGCTCTTTTCAATTCAATTAACAATGTTTAATCTTTTGCTGTAATAAGATCATTGTGGTTTATATTGTAGAAATAGTCTGGCATTTTTGAGGCATAACAGTAAATTTGCAGTTAAGTTCTAGTAATTGAAGGGGAAGGAATGAAAGGGGGACTCAGCCAAGCAAACCCAGAAATTCAAAATCTGTGCTGAGTTAGAACCAGACTGAAGGGGAAGAATGGTTTCTTTAGCACAGCAGTTAATCTGACCCACTAAATGGGCCTTCTTTAGCTCTAACCCCTTCTCTTCCCTCCTCTGCAGTGTCCCAAATAATCCTTATCTAAATATTTTATTCTGAGACGATGTTGCCTCTTATCTCATTACACCATGTTTTTGTATTTGATCTTAATCTTCTTCTATTTAGCTCGTACCAGCCTCTGGCCTTTTCACATTTAAGGATTT